CTCTTGTGAGAAGTGTTCTCCAAAGCAAAACCAGCATCGGGGGGAGCAGCTACAGGTGGCCTCAAAGTAGTCAGTCTCCAAACAATTATCATAACCCTTGAGAAAGTAGTGTTCCTCAAAGACCCAAACATTGCAAGTACATCCACCTAACCAAATCTTGCCCTCCATCTACCTTTCTCTGATGGTCTCAATTCTTTCAACCATAAAGCGGATGCCATCCATGGTGGCATTAACCTGCCTCATGGCATTGATGGAGCCCATAATATTAGTCTGAAAAACAGTAACTACACTGGTATTAGATTCCTCCAAGTCAGTGAGTAGGCCATCAAAGGCCACCCTTCCAGTCTACCCCTCAATCCTCTAAATTGATCTTTGTCTTGTATCAGCAAGCAGGACACCAGAAACAAAGATCTTCACCTTTTCTAGATTCTTCTGAAACCCTAACTCCTGGAGTGACAATTCCCTAAGCAGGTTGAGCCTGGCCTTGTCGAGCCAGTTAGCTAACTCTGTAACTGAGTGTCCCGTTAGAGTTCTGAAGATACATCTAATTTCAGGCCCAACATGTTCTGCGTGGATATAAGGAACATTCCCATGAATCTTTCCTTGGTTAGAGAAAATCATGTTAATCCAGTTCCAGATTGCCTCAATGTCAAAGCTCTCTAGTAGGGCAACCTTGTTGTGGGTAGCAAACTGCATAGTTATATGCCACCCACTAGCGTCTGAGATTGGTGACAACTGAGGTAGTGCTGGCATCAAGTTGAGTGGGTCAAGAGGTTCCATCACGACTTGTTGATACTCTTGTTATGCCGGAGCCACGGCAACCTTGATGTTGGCTATGGCGGCAGGTCCGGACCAAACTGGTGGAGTAACAGGGCTGGCAGTAGCAGGAACTATTTCTCACTTATCAGTGTTCTTCCCCAGAGTTTTGATTTAGGCTGCCCATTCCTTCTCTCCACCAGACTCCCTGACAGCTTTTCTTCTCCTCCTGACAGTGCTACTCAGACATTTGCCACATCTCCTGTTAGGAATACTGAAATTCAATACCTAGAAATTACTCTAAGTCGGGTAATCCTACTCGGAATCGGAATCTCTGTTCTCAAACACCCCCCTCTGGCTTCCTGATAGGACCCACACACCATCATACATATTAATCTCAATTGTGTCCTTTGACCATACTTCTAAAGATGTGAAGATATCATAATAACACCGTATACGTCACCACCGTCTGTACGATCGGATCCCACTCACAGGGAATATGGGAGAAGACCTTTGACTAGGCCTGGGAAGTAAAAGGGAGTAAATCCGTCAACTAGGCAAAGAGCTAGTATGCTTCAAATATGTAATATCTTGGGCAAAAGCTGTAGGTAATGGGACGTTTTCATATAAAGAGATGGTATCAAATGATAAAGCATCTCAATTAGAGACCAATACATTCGCATCTACCCTCCAATAACCAGAAGTGTCTAGAACTCCTAATGACACTACCATAGAAGCCAATCGACTTTACAGAGTGTTACAACTAGGTTTCGAACTATATTGTTGTCATGGGGGTGACTCCTAATACTACAATAGCGATTGAAACCCTGTTATTCAGGGCAAATAAGAGTTGCTGACTGAGGGATTATTTATCAATCTGGTGGAACGACTTCTTGCAAATTAGTAGGATTAATATGTGTAATAATGTGCAGGCCCATAAGGGGGCCGGATTGGGGTGTTGGAAACCAGAGATTGTGATTCCGAGTGCGGTTACCCTACTTAGTATAATTCCTAAGTATTGGATCCTGGTATTCCTAATATAAGGTAAAATAGAATAGAGTTATAAAAACACTCACAACATCAGGTATTTTCCAAAGGTGCGAACACTAAGAAACCCTGAAAACCATATCACTTTTTTCGGTACTTTACTAATTTGCTAGTTAGAAAACTGTCCTGTTTCCGATAGTAATTATCTGACCTTCAGAGTTCTTAGACTTATATCCTAGTTCTTAAGTAGAACTGTGTTGGTACCAACTATCTCTCCTGTTGATAAAATGGTTAGTTTATCAGTGGGTAGTGTCTGCAGGAGTAGTCGTAAGCAAAATCTTCCCATATTACTAACCTTAAATCTCTCTAACTCCTGATCTGATTCCCAAATATCCTGCAGATAACTTTCTACTAATTTGTAGGAAGTCATTCTACCAGATTAGGTGACTATCCCTCAGTTAGCAACTTCTGATTGTATTCAGTAATAGGGCTTTAGTTATTATTTGGTATTGGTAATAATTCCTGCAACCATGACATACTTCTTTACCTAGTTGTAACACTCTAAAAGATCCATTGGCTTCTTTGGTAGTTCTTCCTAGGAGTTCTAAACTTTTCTAATTATTGTAGGATAGATGAGAATATGTTGGCTTTTCATAAAGATTCTCTAATATTCAATATCATATCTTTGTGTGAATATGTCCTGTTACTTCCAGTTCGCACCAAATATGTTCCATCTTTGAAGCCTAGTAGCTCTCTGAGTAGTTGACAGATTTATTCCATTCTATTTCCCAGACCTAACCAAAGGTCCTCTCCCATGTATCCTGCGAACAAGAATTAGTCGGGCAAATATTAGTGATGTATACAGTATTATTCTGACACCTTCAATTCTGTAGCATTATACTCACAGGACGCAACTAAGATAAATATGTACAATGACATACGGGCCCATAAGGGGGCCAGAGGTGGCTGTTGGAGATTAGAGATCTTGATTCCAAGCGGGTTTATCCTACTTAGAGTGGTTCCTAGATGTCAGATCCTGGTACTCCTAACAACTTCCTAGCTATTAGATCCTAGTATTCCTAAAAGAGGTGAAGTGGGCTTCAAAAGAGGTATTTGAAATTAAAGTATAAAGGACATGATTTGAGTTCATCTTAGATGGTCTTGTTGTTTGAATTGGTTATCTGTTCTCTGATTCTAGTCATTTTTGAGTTGATTACTTAGTCTGACATCATTACTCATTTAGTTCCATCTACCACAAAGTCTACTGTACATCCAGCTCCAAATATCTAATTCTTAGCATACAGGGATTCTGGATACATCCAACACAAAGTCTCTAATATTATTATAATATTACAAGAGAATATCATACTCATATATTTTCGAAGAAAATTAGGATTACCCTACCTTTAGCCCCTGTTTCTCTGCAGTAGATCCAGTAGAAGAATAGTTTTAATATGTAATATTAGCAACACCTCCCATTCCAAATTCACCAACTTCAAACCCTTTCAACTCCACAGCCAGTTATGTTTTCACAGGTCTAAGAGCAACCACTGATAGAGCACATCAATTGGTATATGCTTTCGCTCTTATAAAAAATATAGGTTATATTTTGGCCGAGTAATAGACCCCCAAAGTTGGTGATACTTTTCGCGAATAATACCCAGGTTACCCGTGACCGGCACTATTCCACACGACCCAGAGATACTAAACCAAGGAAAAACTGGAATCTCCCCCTCCCCCATCCCCAAAGGCCATCATAGGGGATCACTCGAGCATGAAAACTTCCAGAAATAATTCATAACATCTCCCTCCTCAATTATTAGTGTTAAACCGATGCCCACACGCCTCACACCGGTAAAACACCGTCGCCTATACCCCCACCCACCCCTAATTAGCCCCATCCTCTCCCCCCTGGATGGAAAAAAAATGCAAACTCACCCCCTCGTCAGCACTCCGGATCTGCAACGTATAAAACCACATCTTTTCATTCCCGCACTCCGGACAGGCCTGATGAATCTCAGCCTCTGTCTGCAGGTCCTCCGCGGCGAGCGCTTGTAAGGCGGACTTCTTCAGGCGCAAGGAGGATGGGAAGGCGCGGGGGTTCGAGGTCGTTGTTACGGTTTTTGTGCCGGTGTCTGCCGTAGCAAGGAAATTGATATTGGGTGGAGAAGGGAGGGAGGGAGGGAGGGAGGGAATGGGGCGAGTTACCGATTGTTACGTGCCCACACATTTCGCAGGTCAGCTTCGATGATGACACCGACGGGTCCAGGAGATTGCCGCAGGGGGCGCAGAATAAGAGGGTTCCGAGGGAGCTTGTCATTGAGAAGGTTGGGATCTTAATAGAGCGGTATTGTACGTGGTGGGATGTTTTAGCCGTGAAGTGAATGATGCATATCATACATGGGAAATAAAATCTTGACTTGAAGGTAGGGTAATCTAGGTCAGTAACCCGGTACCTGCCAAGCCACCCAATATTCCACAGCGAAATGCATCTTCCATTTTTTTCCCTTGATACTTTCCACATCTTCCCTAACCAATCACCCCAACCCCAAACTAAAACGGTATGTTCAACTCCGCTCCTCCTCCTTCCCCCCGTCCTCCCCACAAAAATGATGATACACCGCTGGCACCAGGCCTAGAGACTTGTACTCTTTACCATGCGGAAAGCTTGCAAACAGCGGGGTTATCCCTTTGCTATATCTGATTCCCCTCCCCCATTCACGCCCTCACTTACTCCATTACATTTGAAGAAAGAAAGAAAAGGCTAATTTACCACAACGCGGAAGGTTGAGATATAGGTATAGATGATGTTAACGAACCCAATATCAATAAAAAAAAAGTTACAGTGGTCAAGCTCGACCTCCAACTGTACATATGCCGAAAGCGAATAAGAGGTGAATCAAAAAGAGAAAGAAAAAACTCTAACCACCTAATAACCCACGGTATCTGTGACCGTGCGGATACAAAGTTCAGAGGAGAAGAACCCTCCCATCCAGCGTGACAATCTTACTTTCACGTTCTATTCTAATGAAGATGTAGGATTAGGCACAGTTCTCGACTATGCCGTGTCACAGCTGGAACATAAATGATTCAGTATACAAAGAATAACAGATTGATATCTCGGTACATGGGGTGCTGTGTAAGGTGCATAGAGCCACCTGTTGACCCCGTACTATCCTGTGCTGTACTGTAAACATGCAAACGGTGAAGCAACAACCTGAACCGTAAGAAACCATGGAAGCTTTTCTAAAGAAAAGTGAAAGGAATGCATCATAGAATCCCGCAGTCCCAAATCTACAAAGGCTCTAATATACACCACTATAATACTACTATGATATTTAACCTGGCAAGGAAAACCCCGAACCCAAACGAGAGGATGAAACAGAAAGACAGGGAGAAACCGAAAGCAAACGAGATATTATCGTGATCGCCGTCAAAGATGTCACAACACCTATCCATCGTTAAAATGAGAAAAAAACTTGAAAGACATAAATCCCGTTTCCCTTTCAAGAGTTCTTCCACCACTCCTCACCCCTCAAGAATTTGCCAAACGCCTTGACCGAGACGGCGCCCGAGAAGCCCTGTGATTCTCCCCTGAGGGCCCAATCGCCGACAGCGAGTTCGACCAATTTCTTAGCTTGGTGGCCATAAACGTCGACGAGCTTTTTGGCGCCGACTTCGAGAAAAGTCTTCATGACGAAGTAGTGTGTGTTTGTGAGCTTATCGGCAGGGGCGTTGAGGACGGTGGCTACGGCATGCCAGAGGTTGAATATTGGATATGGGTTTATCAACTTTGAATTTCCAAAGTTTCTGTTGAAATTCGCCCCAGGATTAGCCACCGGCCACACTGATAGAGAGAATATAATGAGCAGCATACCTTCCAGCGATAGCAGTATACCCGGCCGTCAATCCCACCATACGGTTGACATGGTTTTCCTCAGTTTCCCAGGTCCCATCCCCCCCTTGGATCCAACCTAATCTCTTGCGATCGCCCTCGGTAGTTTCCGGGCCAAGTTCGCCAGTCAAGATGGGGGTCTTCTTCAGCAGTCTAGCAATGACAATGTCGATAAAGGAATGGCCATTGACGAGCAAACGTTCGTCTGCAAACGTGGAGATGACTGCAACCCCGATCGGATCCGCAGTGACAGGCTTCATAGCGCATTCATTGACGACTTGCTTGACAAGCAATTTCGCAAGCTCATTGACAGTCCAGACAAAAGCCACCGGGACGGGAACATCACAAGAAGGATCCTGGTTGAGGAAGAAATCATTGGCCGAAATCATTGGCCCCTCTTGGTCACTGCGAAGATCGACAAAAGTATTTTTAAGGAAGTCACGCTGAGTCGCATGTTAGCATTTACACTCACATGTGATGGAACGGGGATACTTACAACTTCGATAGTCTGATTTCTCTCACCATTTAACTGACCAAACTTGGGACGCAATCCGCGGCGGATAGTAGTCAACTTCTTTTCTTTGGAGAACGCCTCCTCTTGGAGCACGGTATGACGCAATTGATGTAGAGACGCGATAACTCTCTGCATTGCGACTCTCTCGTAAGTCGTAGATTTTCTACCGTAGACCCGCGGACCAGAACGGGAAGCAGCATGTAGGGCGGCTGCAGCTTCCCTGACGGCTCGTTCCTTAGAATCTCGCTCCGCCTTCACCTTCGCTTCCTCCGCATCCTTCTGTCTCTTAAGAGCTTCTTCCTTCTCCAGATCCGCCTGACGTTTCCTCTCCTCTTCGGCCCTCACCCTCTCTGCCTGAAGCCTAGCAGCCTCCGCTGCTCTCTGTTCCTGCTCCCTCTTTTCCTGTTCGTGCCTTTGCCTCTCCATCTCCTGCTGCCTAGCAATTTCCCCGGCTCTTCGAGCAGCCTCTTCTGCCTCCCTTGCCAACTTCTCCCGGTACTCCTTCTCAATTCTTGCCCTGTTGAGGTCGTCCTGGCGCTTCGCCTCGTAGACCCTCCTCACCTTTGCCTGAAAACGTTCTTCGAGAATGGCAGCCTCGCGGGCATCAAACCTAGTATCTTGGAGATAAACCAGCATAAACTCCTGGTTCGCCTTATCGTCCGTCGCAACAAGTTTGCTGGCGAGAGAGTACTCCTTCGCCTTCAAATCCAAAGCGTTGATCTTCTCGGCCAAGTTATGAGCGCGCACAGCACAAGTGGACTGTGCGCCGCGCGGTGACGCAGTCCTGATCGGGGAGGAGTAGATGCCGCCGCCGGAATTCGCGAAGAGGTCAGCGTCAGAGTTCCCTTCTTCCCATTCACCTTCGGAGTCGGAATCGGGTAGCGGCATTTTGGCGGCTGGACTCCAAGGTTCTGAGAGCGAACGCTCTGCCTTTGGCGTCATGGTTATAAAAAAGATACTGTATCTACTACAACTAATTTTAGGTTCCCAGGCGTTCGCCTTATAGATCTGCCCTTTGTGTGAGCGGGCAAGAAGTGATGTGGTAAGGGATTTAATGGAAAACGAACTATACTCACAATCAAACAGATTTGGTGGGAAAGAAGCGAGAATCTAACAAGACGGAAGATTGGACAAAAAAGCGTGGAGAAAGGGAGTCTGACTTCCGAGCTGGCGTTTGTGTTTGAAGGTCAATTGGTCGAAGACACGAATCGAGGGGATAAAGTAAGGGAGAGGTGGTTGGGAGGGATGAAAGCTACCTACCGGCAGTTGTGTCTCAGGGTGCTGCAGGGTACCGCTACCCTGATCCACGAGTTGCGTCTTGGCGCGGGAGCAAGCTCACGGGTGCACGGGATTCATGCTAATCATAGACGGGTAACCATTTTCAAATAACAAACGAGCCAAGGACAGGGCCACCGGAATCAAACAAACCAACCATGAGTCTCATGATGGGCGAATGACGGGCAAAAAAACCCGTGTTATTGCCCCCTTTTGTTTTACAAAAGGCCCGAATATAGTACTGGTATGATACTGAGTACTCTACCCGCAGTAAGGGTATTCAAAGTTGAAAAACTTGAAAAAACTTAGCTTACTTCACTGTTTCATGTAAGCTTGGGCCACCCAGAAACAATTAATTTACCATTACTTTACTTTACCATACCATACTTTTTTTTTTTTGAGTAGATACAGATGTTAAGAGGTCCGTATCTACTCCAAATCTCAAATTAACTGAATTCTACCAGTGCCTAGACTTGATACATAATATGAAAAGAAACTTTAAAAAAATCAGAAGAAAATTCTAAAATATTAGAGCATACATTGACTTTTTCTTAACAATAACAGAGATTTTACAGTATTGGTAAGATTGGTGAAAATATCTACAACTTTACTCTCAGTTACCTCAATACACTCAAATATACTACATAAAACATGTGAATGCTATTGGCTAACACTATAAAGTAACCTAATGCAACTTCCGGTGTTTACCCATTACCAATATATGCATCTTTTCAACTTTAAATACTCTTACTAGTGTGTCTACATAGGTGCCTCATCTCACTCTCTTACTTGTACTCTAATGTTCCTAAGTTTCTGTTAATATATAGTAACGGGCAATGATACCTTTTCTTAATATATATATATATATATCTTCTTCCTTCAATAGTTCTTAGGCACTTTGGCCTATGTTACCAACACTCGCTTGGGTAATGCCTATCATTGTAATGTATAGAAATATTGCTCTTAGACTCTTGAGAAATGTAAAGGATAAAGAGCATAAAGATGTTTTATTCATATAAAGTAATAAGTAAGGAAATTACTTAGAATAAAGTGTAAAGAGCCTATCCTTCTTGGCCGTACCAGCCTCCTTATATAGTGCTCTTCTCATCAATCCCAACACTGATGACTCATAACTATGAGTCATGTGAAATCTGTATAAACAAGTCATATGTACAAGACCTATTAAGTCATAGGCGAAACATAACAAATCATAGCATAAATACATCATATGACTCGAGTGAGTCATATGTGCAAGACCCATGACTCATAATCAAGTCATGTGCAAAATCGGGGGACATCCATGACATGTACCTACACCATACTACAGTAGGAGTTTTCAAAGTTAAAAAGATGATTTCTCAGTAACCAGTAAAGAGGATAGTTGCATTAGGTTACTTCATAATATTAGTCGATCATGTTCCCATGTTTGGAGTAGCATATTTGAATACATCAAGGTAACTGAAGGAAAACTTAAACATGTCATGATGGAGGTGGTACTTACAAACATTGTGTAAAGACTGTTTTATCAATAAGAAGTCAACATCAATAGATTTTTACCACAGAATGTAGATAATTATTTCTAGAGTCATTGAAAACATTTTGGAATTTTTCATCAATCTTTTTCAATTTTATTTGTGCTTCATGTATTGTTCCTGGGTTTTGGTAAGGTTCCATAAAATGGAGATCTGTAGACTACGATAGCTGTTACCAACCTCCAGACCTCCATCTCTACCAGTAAAAAAAAGTATTGTATGGTATGGTAAAGTAATGGTATACTAACTGTTTCTGGGTGTGCCAAGTTTACATGAAACAACAAAGCAAGCTAAGTTTTCTCTACCTTTCTAACATTGAAAACTCCTACTCGTACTTGTACAGTACTGCACAGTACCCGTTATCGTGTTAGGGAGGTTCGAGGTTCTCTCCGCGCCAACATACAGCTACATTCTTCAACTATCATACGAAAAGGATTTTCAGGCCCCCCGACCTAGGTGTGTGCTCATACAGTACTCGAGTACCTTTCGCGTTACAATAAGCACCGACTCGAGAAAACAGACGCCGAAACCTACCCCTTTGTGAGGAACTCACACTGCGCACTGGTTGTTGTTCCGAGAATTTCGAACCACTATTCCCTCACGAGTCACCGCATGAAATACTCGAGTACATACACTCGAGTGCTTCCTGTTCATCGAGTACTCATAGATATATGCATATACACAAACACAACTATCTGCTCGTGATCGCGGGGAGGATGTTCAAAGCCCAGAGACACAGCGCAACGCACGGTAATATAGTGCAAAGTGACACAAACCGGGTCCTCAAAACAGGCCAAATGCGATTTTGAACTAGTCACTCAAAAAAAATAAAAGAAATAAAAAAAAAACTACTGAGAGAAAGCGATCTGCAAGGAGAAGAGGCCAGTGGTTTTTTTATGAAAATTAAGAAGCTTATGGGAAAGTAGTTCAAGTTTGAAAAGTGAAAATTTTGGCGAGTGAAACTAGTGATAGATTCTACTTAGTAGCAGGATAAAATATACTATAGATAAAGGAGATGACTAAGAAATAATAATATTGAAAAAGAAATAGAGTAAAGATTGTAATAGACATAATAATTAACAATTCAGAAGGTATAAACTTCTCTTACTACTTGATTCCGCATTTTTTCATTTTTGGCCTAGTGAACTGTAAAGTCTCAAATATTATTAGACATCCTCTTGGGCCATTCAAAGCACTGAAAACTACTGCGTATCTAGAATAGGCAAGTTGTGATTCTTTAGATATCACTATAGTAAATATCATTGCACTTTACTAATCATGCCTTGGCAACTCTTGGCTGAATCCCGATCGGCAGCAACGGAATTTCCGTTTCACCGGAGGTCCCGCCTTTAGGCACTTTCCACCGTACCCTACCGGTCTGATACCGTGCCCACGCTGACCCGCAGACCTGCGGAGTCCAAAACGGTCCTCTCTCACCGCCCGCGTGCAGGCGGTGTCTGTCAATCTAACCCACCCGAGGAGCATCCAGCATGCTACCCTACAAGTGACAGGGCACTCTGCAGACAACAGTACGATATCATACCGTTGACTTATTCTATCCCCCCTTAGCTATACTGTAAAGCACAGTGCAGTGCAGTACAGTGTAGCACCATGAACGAATGAACGACCACTGAACAAGGCAGTCAACGTCGACAAAACCCAATTAATATCATGCCCAGGAGAGCAAGCAAGCAAGGCAGCCGATCGTCAAATGGACTCGAATTCGGCAAAAAAAATTTCAAAAATTTCACTGTCATACAGCGCACGAAGGTATTGCATGCAATTATTATTACTTTGCAAATCCACCCTCCGATAACAAAGTGTCATCCCCAACCTATCACGCAGCACAAGGCTCTCACACTCTACTTCTTTCCTTCCCCGTCGAGTCCGACATGATCCTAGAGGAGAACCGCTCACTCGTCAGCGATCCTTTTGGCAGGTATTGTACTGTACTGTGCACTAGGTGGGGAGAATGCACCCAGCCAAACCCCTTTTCGACACATTTTTTATCATAGTCCTAAGCATAAGGCACAAGATTCACACAGATCCAGAACTCCCGTCTGCGCATTATCATCAGCGTCATCATCACCATTGTTAGAATAGGGCTCACTATTCCTTCCCATTCTACCGGTATTCTGCGAGTACAATAAGCAAAAGAATCAATTGTTTTTTTTCTTTTCCCTCTCTCTTCCTTGTGCACACAAACAATGACTTGTTCATAAACAGACCAAGGTTATCATGACAAATGCGTTGCCCTAAAAAAATAAAAATAAAGATAAAAATAAAAGCAAAGAACCCCCCTATCATAAAAGACTCGTCTTTCTCGCTCGCTCGAGCGCCAGTCAATCCGTTCTCATCTCAATTCACTCGTTGGATATGATACTCGGTCGCCCAAGGAACGAACGAATGAGGGACCTAGTGGAAACACCTGATGTGCAGACCCCCGACAGACCATCCATCCTTCGAGCACAGGGCGAGAATGAAAGAACAAAAGAATGAAAGAAAGGGAGGAAGAAGGGAAGGAGGGAAAAGGCTACCCACACAACACATGACTCAAACCCCATTCACCTCACCAAAACACGATGACGATAAGCCACATTGCAGGACGCGACCGCACCTCCCCGCAAGCAAGCAAACATCATACAGTACGCAAAGCCCACACAATTCGATTCACACAATTCAATATTATGAACTTTTACCCTCGAATCGCTCGCTGAACGGATCAATTAATGATCCCATAAGAGCACGCATGTGCACACACATTACACAGCAAATCGTGGCGGTGCCCCACAACTCAACCCAGCGGGACCCAACCGGGGCAAGACCAGAGCAGAAAAACACCGCCCACACACTCTCTCTCCAATGCCATGAGCGAAGGAAAAAAGAATGAAATAAAAAAGTAAAATGAAATAAATAAAAATTCTCCGACCGGAGCGGGGGAGTACGGTAGTGGAATCGGATACACCGGAACCACCGAGGCACAGCCTACGAATAGTACAAAACTCACCTTATCAAGACTCCCGGAGGCAGTGGAGAAAGGGAAAGGGAAAAAGTTCGCCTCCGCCATCCGCGCGTTATCATACAATGGACAACTAATTTGACTCGACTTGACTTAACTTGACTTGAACAATGGTGGTGGTGGCGGCCAGTGGCTATCCACAGCAGGAGTTCCCCCGTTTCGAGCACGGGACCAGGGTCGATGGAGAGCCCCGCTGGCAGAAATTTGCCCTCGTTCGGTTCGCTGGCAGCAATCAGCGCAGGACGAGTTTTTTTTTTTTCCCTTTCTCCGTGGGGGTTGGTTTGATTTTGATGCATAATTTAGTGCTCGTGTGCATTGAGGTACGGGCGCATACTGTATGTGTATGCGTGTCTGGAAGACCTTTTTTTTTTCTTTTCTTCTTTCCCTCTTTTCACACCTAGCTTGGTGGTAGAACTATTACTGTAACTCAACTAAACTGATCCAAAGAGAAAAAGGGGAAGAGAAAAGGTGAAAAACTATACTTATCAAATTTTCGCGAGTAGAAAACGGTATTCGGGTATCAATAAATAAATAACCATAGACTACATACACACACATACGTGACATTCATACATACGCACACAGATACATTATCCGTACGTGAACCTGAATGAAAATAGGACAAAAACAAAAGGCATCAATACTCAAAACTCAGAAAACAGAAAAATCCCCCCCCCCAAAAAAAAATGTAATGACCGCGCATGTAGTTTTATTTCCCCAAGGGCAAACAAAACCCTCGAAAGAGACATAATGATAGTGGTGTAATGACCACCCACTCATTCATATGCTTCTTCGTTCCTTGCCAACGAGTCTGGGACCAATTAACGAAAAAAAAAACCCCCCGACTAACAAAAAGCAAATATACCATACCGAATAAAAGAAAAGCGGAAGAAAAAAATTTACTCATGGAGAAGGGAGGAAACGAGACAATGGATAATGTTTCTTTGCCAGCCGAACCGTACGAGCTGGAAAGAAAAACAAGGATATCCTCTAAAATGCTAAACACCGCATCGCCGTTCCGATGTTATTTCCCCCTCAATTCTCATCCCATCCCATCCCACCCCCAGGAAGGAGGGAGAGCAAAGAGATAGAGGGGGGAGTTAATAACGCGAGATATAACCCAAACACCCAGCCAACCAACAACGGACCCTAGAATACTTCTTACCAGATAGTAGACGCTCTGCTCTGATGCCGAAAGTGAAGAATAAAAACGCCGGACCTCCCAAAAAACGAAACGGAATGATAAATGGTATGCACAAAATATTATGTACTTGAGAAGAAAGAGAGAGAGGAAGAACACCCCATAAAAGATGTACGCCGGCTATTGTTCATATATTTCTTCCCCGACCGAAGAACTGATTGAGGAAAAGGAAAGCGGACGGACTTAAGCGGTCGCCGATCTAACAGGAAGGGGACTTCGACTACTCTGCGTCGATTGACTTCTCGACAGAGTGGGCCTTCGGTTGAAGACCTCGTCGATGAGACGTTTTGGCCCAACATATTCCAGGTTCATCTTCATGGGATTCTTGATCATTGGCATAGGTAATACCAATTGGACCGTCTTTTTCTTGTGAAACCTGCGCTTGATGCAATCATCAACGAGCGCCGTCAAACCAGTGGCCATAATAACGCTAAAGAAAGACATAATGTTAGATAATTGAAGGGGTAAAAATGCTTATCATTTCCTCGACTTTCTCGTTTCCTTTTTTCTTTTTCGTAAGGTGCGGTGGGATGGGCCAGAATCAGACTTACTCGGCAACGTCAGCTAGGCACAATATAATGGGATCCTGACTAGAATCCCTCAACCAAAATGAACACGGAGGGACAATTCCGCCTTTGGCCTCCTCGGCTTGCGCTTGGGTAGGTGAAAGTGGATCGGGCACGATATGGGCAACAACATTTCCGGTGCTGTTGTTGGCGAGTTGATACGAAATTTCTTCGGCGCCAGCATGCGGCCCAACTTGCTTGGCAACCCTCTTCCATGAATAGCTCTTTCCCCAGTACTCAAAGTCATACTTTTTCGAGCCCTTTCCTCCACGCCTGGTCAAATCAACATGGGCATAATTAGAGAACTCTAACGTGCAAATGTTGTTGTTTTGGGTGACCTCGCTCGAGGATTTCAGCTCTTCCTCCTCTTCCCCGTCAAAACCTGAAGATGAATATCCACTATCCTGACGGTTCAACTTTGCTACTGGCTCCGCCTCCGTCCTTCCACGAAAGCTATGCAAGGCCTTACTGACAGAGCGTTGAAGTCTGGGTCGCTGGGGTGCGGGTTTGATTGTCTTTCGCTTAATGTGAGCCACCTCGCGCCCACAATCCCGACCATATCGTCGAAGAGAAAAGTCGCGCGTCCTCAAATCATACATCCGAAGATGAAAGAGTGTAACATTCTTTCCAACATCACCAACAGCAGCCACATTCGTGTCCACCCTCAAGTTCATGTTCCCGTCAAGCGTTGAATCATCATGCCGTATGGAAAGGCACCTGGTTGATGGAAAGAGTTCGGCAAACTCTGAGGGGGTCGAAGGCGAGGCCTGTGGTGGTGGCGCCTTGTGATAGTGTACATATGGATGGGTATCGTAATAGGGGTAATCATCGTCTGGATCTTCGACCGTGCTGCAGTACGTGTTTTCCGACTCGCGGGGGTCATGGGCAGGGTGGTAATCAAAGATCTCCGATTCTGCAGGAGAAGCCGTCTTTGATTCATGTTGCTCTAACGATGGCAGTGAACTCGGTACAGTACTTCGTGATGCACTGCTGTCGCTGGAGGTGCCCATACTGCTATCGCTATCGTCCGATGCTCTGTGCTGAAAATGTGAAGGACCTGATAAACTCATATTGGTGGAACGATGATAGTATTGGGGAGGTTCGTGAAAGGAACTAAGGAAAGCAGTCTGTAGTACTGCAGAGCCTGTGAATAATATACCGACCTGGGTGGCAAAGGGGCGTTGCACAATAATGTACGAAAGTGAACCGGAACGGTCGTGCTCAAAATAACCGGAAAAAACAGGAATAAAAACTGCAGGTGGAAAAAAAATTTGGGCAAACAAATTAGAAGACAGAGCGAAAGTGGCCGATATTATGGCAGGTTAGATGTCATGGAAACCAAATTTTCTTCTCCTTCCTCGTATTTCGAAGGTGTCATTCACTGGATAGATACCGGTAGATGATCGAATGCGCTTTTCTCCCCCTATTTCTTTTTGACACGCCACTACTCGAGTCGTAGGATAATACCACACCAGACTGTTTCCGACGGTTGGTAGAGATGGGTGGAAGGGAATTAACAGGAATCGATCATTCGGGCATATACCGGCAGTGGGGAGGGGAGCAAGAAGGTGAGCAGGTCTCCTGTTTATTATGAGGACTTCCGACTTGCAAGTACGACTTTATTTTTGGGAGAGTGTGAGGGGTAGGCCTTCCCACTTATTGCTGCGGTTGGCCGCCTGGGTAGGGAAGCTCGACTGACCAGACAGAGGGAGAGGGAGAGAGAAAAGAAAGGTGTGGTGGTTGATATGCCTGCTCGGTTGGTTATGGATTGCTTGCTCTGTTGGGCTCACTTTGTTGCCAGAGGTTATTCCTCACCCCCTTCTCTCATTTTTTCCCTGCCCTTACCCAGTTCCCACCGTATTTCATTCCTTGCCTCAAACTGACCTAAGCGGTGCTGCAATAACTCGAACAGGAGGAACCGACCCCCCGCGTCGGACGAATGAAATGCGCGCGTCAGAGGATTTTTTTTGTGGCAGGAGAGGGGAGGAGGGTGTACGAGTGAAAATCTGTGTGATGAGTGAGTTATTGGGGCGAAGATTTGCCTATGGTGGACGGCAGTAACGATACAAGTATGAAATACGCAATTTTGGTATTTCCTACCTCCACCCAGCGTTGCCAGAGCGATTCCCCTCCACCGCCATCCACTGACTGACCGGGTGGCACCCACCACTCATCCACACTTTTTCTTTTTTTTCTTTTCTTTTTTTCTTTTTTATCACAATTTTCAGCACTTTATTATTTATTACCTCCTCCCACACGTTCTCTTACCCTCACTCACACACATCTCCCAGACAATAACCCTGAGTCTCGTACCCCCGTGTCATTCTCTCGGCGGCTGTGTTCTCTCTTCTCCCTTTTTGGTTACCGTTGGTGACGGCAAAAAGTGGGAGGCTCGCTGAAATTCCTGTGGACCTTTTCCTTTTCCCAGTCTCCGTTTCTCCCATTGGGCGCACGGCTGAAGACTCCTGCCTGAGCTTTTCATGAACACGGGGGGAGGGTTTGTAACCCCGGTCATTCTGTGCAACTTCAAAAGGAAGGAAAAAGCAGCCAAAAAAGAACATGGGAGGAAAGGTGCCTTCTTCCCCCCCTGGCGCATATTTCTTCTGTGGTGAATTGTGCCATTTGTCCCTGTAACCGTACCGTACTAGTACTAGTACAAATGCCAGAGTACTCGTAGATGATCGATTTCCAGCCAACCATGATTTGATGAGTCACACAGGCAATGGAACCGACCAGATAGGGGAGTACTTATTTTTTCCTGTAACCCCCCCCCTCAAGCAACAAAAAACTTTCCCCTCACGAACGAACCAAGGGCCTGGATGGAGGGGGAAGACAAAAAGCGCTCCGATGTTCGCCCCTCACCGAACCAAGCAAATGGATGTTACTTCCCATCATCTCGATCGACATGAAAAAGAGAAGTGAGATACCGCAATTCGTCGAGATTAAGGAAAAGTGAGAAGAAAGTGAGCGAATCCGTAGGTATGGGGGCACACGAAAGCAAAATCTCCAACAAAGCCAACTTCACCTGCACGTACATAATGCCCATTGGAGTCCAATAGACTACAACAGAATCCAAACCTGGACTCAGGTTCCCAAGTCAGCCAGGCCCGTTGTTTGGACTATTGAAACACCTACCTATCGTAGTGAGGAAGCCAAGAAATGGGTTTAGTTGGAAAGGAAGAGCGTGTACCCATTAGACTAGAAGAAGCACGGTAGACTACCGTACGGTATGTTAACCCACACACCACACTTGTCGCATCCAACAGAATACTGCACAGTGAACTTCCCAACTCAATCCTCTTTTCATTTTTTCCCCGCCTGCTCTCTTCCTCTCCTTCTCCTTTCGCGAAACACAAAAGGTATCGGTAGGGCACCGTATTCGAAGCAGGCAACTAATTCCAGACCAAAGAACCTCAAAATATCGACCGAAACAGGCAAGAAATAAACTACTGTACTATGATACCGTACTTGTAGTCTACGGTATGTTTCCCCTCACGAACGAACTAAACAAAGACAAACCCCACCACCCGCCACCCGCTCCCCCGCTCCCATTGCGGTAACTGTAACTCTCCAGAAACACCGCAACCTCTTCCCTAGATAAGGTCTTGTTGACGGACCTCCCCCGTTGACCTACCCTAACAAGGAAGCTGACGCTGGGCACCTTTTCAGTAAACCTGGTACTTTGTGTGACCGGCGAACAGGCAGGCAGGCAGGGCTGGGATTGATACTTTGCAGTCATCGGTTTCCAATGGGGTTGCCGTGAGGACGTGGTTATTTGTCCGGGCGGGCAGACAATTAGATTATGATAGCTTTGCAGTAGCGGTGAATTATTCCGTGGATTATTTTAAAAGCTGGGGAACCCAATCCTCGTGATGTATGTATCATACAAGTATGGATACTTGTAAAAATGGGCGAGGTTTTTCCTTCCCCCTCTTGATTGATGGGGAGGAGGGAGGGGAGAGAGATAGAGCCTTGTGACAGGAAATTGCCCCACGCCCTCCAGAGAGAAAGAGAGCAACAGGGACGATATGGGTATCATACAAGTACGTAACTTAGGTTAACCATGCGAGAAAGATGAGTTATCATATGGGCGCCTTGGGTGTTGTTTGTCGTGGTCGTGGCGGATGCCTTCTACTTAAATTACTCACTTACTCGAGTACAGGACCTCGCAACCATGCCATAACTTAACCCTGTCTGTCCAGCCATCCCATCGAGTTGCTGTTCGCAGCGCTTGTTGGTTGGTTGGTATAGGATCACAATTATCTTCTCGGCGGGCGGTTGGCTGGGGATTTAAGTACGGTACCGTACCGTACCGGTATCACCCAGGCTCTTTCTCGATCGTGGAATTCATCATATATATATGTACGAGCGACAAAACCTGAAATAAAAAGTGCTAGCACAATGCAACTATCATACAAGTAATTATGAGATGATGAAAGAGGACGGGAAAGTACGATCTCCACGGCGCTCGAGGACAGTAACTTGTTGTCGAGTCCGATAGACTACATAAGGAACCAAAATGTGACCTCGCAATAACAGGTAGAACTCACCAAGGAAAATAAGAAAAAAGAGCACAATCAAAGGCCACCTTCCAAGGTTGTCGACCAGGCAACTTTTCTCGAAAGCTTCCGTATTGGACGGACGGTCACTGTGGTTCTGACTCGCGGTTTATCATAATAGTGCGCTTGATTGCAACTCGTGATCTTTGTCCCCGCCCTCCCCTCATCCCCTTCCCCCACTTACTCTGAAGGAAGAACTTTTGTACCCGCAGAACCCACTTATCCAAACAAACCCGACAAAACTAAAACTTAGGAGCACAACAAATTAATCTACCCTAGCGAAAGCCTTGCAACATCTTTTGCACAACTGCTCGTTTGGCTTCTTGGGAGTGGGGTTATGAGTATGGGGTAGCTACCGGGTAGGCCCGTGCGCGCTCTCTCTTTCCCCCGCTGCACTTACGAAAGGGGAGTTTCTGGGGTATCGTCTGCAGCCTATGGATAACCTGGTATCGTGGGACAGCGAAAGAACAGCGGAGGGATTGACGTGTTCGCTCGTGCGTCTTGGAGCCTGTCGGGATCGTGGGTTTGTTTCTTTTTGAGCATCAATTACGGGTAGGGCACCGGGATTGTCTCCAGGTGCAATGGATCAACTCTCATCACTGCGCCAAGGTATGATGGGCACAGTGCTTTTAACGCCTATGAATCGTGATTAATTCTAATATAGTAAATAAGAAGGGTACAGTGCAGTACTCGTACCTGTGTTGTTATTTATTATGTTCTCGCACTTTGCTTTGTACCCCGTAAACAGGCAACAGCGGGATCACTAACTGTTTCGTCCATCCTTCGGCCCCGTTCTGTTGCTGCAGACTTGCAGGGGATTTGTTCACGGGTACTTTTTTTGTTCCTCAGCCCAGCACAACCCCGCCATCGCATTGAAGTGCAATGCGTGATAAGGTCCGCCTCAAAGTCCAGGCATCCATCACCATCTTCATCAAAAAAAAAAAACAACCTCGTTTCGCCCACCGTGGCTTCGTTTATGCATTACTTATCTGATTACTGCACCACCACTGTAAAAAAAACGTGGGTTCATCGTGACACAAGAAATCCGAAAACTGCCGCGGGAGGGAGGGAGAAGGAGGGAGGGAGAAGGAGCGTGAGCGGCTTTTATGCCATGTCTCTCTCTTCTTCTTCATCTTCATCTTCCCCTCCCTTTGTCCCGCCTTGTTCCCATACTTACGGTACTTCCCACGGCCAGGGCGGGAAACAAACACCGGTCGACGCAAGAGCCACAGTGCCGCCGGGAAGGGTGATGGGGGGTGCCTAGCTACCGTACCGCATTCCAGCACTGCTGGAAAGAATGGGCCCGGATCGGGATCTGTAGGTACCGCACCGATGTGGCACCGTACCGCAGTTACTGTACTGTACTTTGGGCGAGGTGAGTGCGAGGTGGGGGAGGCGGAGGGAGTACTCGTAGAAGATGAGCCTACTTTTGTTAAGGCTTAGTTAAAGCTCACATTTGTGATCCACAATAGTACTAGTGCAGATTATGCCTCGTGTGATAAGTTATTAGAGGAGCCTCTATGAGTGCCTACCGTATCTTATGGCGCTAGAGCACTCCTGGGAGCACTTTCGGGTGAGCTGCGATGCCCAGGGATATGAAAAGTATTACCGGGCTTCCTTGTCACGGGTCGGTGAATTAATTAACTTCACTTGCTGGCAAGTGCTGTTTTGCATTGCTTTTATTTCGGAGAGAATCCGTGGTTCGTCGAAGTGGCTCGTGAATTCCAAGGACCTCCTTCAACCCTACTTCAGTCTTGGTACTGTACTAGGGGTTGGAAGAAAGTCTATCGAACTCTTGGCGCCAATTCACATAGTAAACACTGCCAAGAGTTCGACAGACTTACCCACAACCCCCGGTACCGCAGCTTCCGCTACCGGTGGCCAAGGCTGGCCTCTGGCCTTATTTGTGAGTCCCACCACCCTCTTCCCCACCAATCTACAAGTACGTACAATGCGTGCAAGAATCGACCAAATCTACCGTAAAATTCCAGAAATAAGGCGCATCCCGAAGTTAGGCGCACCTAGCAACCGGTTAATGGCACAAGTCTTGGGGGTGATCATTTCTTAAACATTCAACTAGCTGCACAATTTCTTACTCACATGGCCAAGTTGAAGCCAGATACCTAAAGT